TCTATTCATTCAGGACCTCATGCAGTTGTGATTCCTGCTATTCAGCAAAACCAAATAAACTGGAGGTTACAATGAACAACACAGTGGGAAAATCTGGACACTCACTGAAACAGCAGCAACCCGACGAGGTTGTGTCACTCCAACAATTCTTCCTTCAGCTGTCCAGCCAGCTTCTGCCAGGTACTGCAACAAACAGTGGGGGTAAGAAAGGCACTGCTCATGGTGTGGATACAACAAGGTGTTAGTTCTCCACACTATGTGCTTCTTCCTGGTCCTGTTTATTATTTCATGTAAAATCCCCTGGGAGAATACCTGATTTTACCAAGCTAAACAGACACTTACCTGTGGAATCTGCGTTGATTTCCCACAACCTGTTTCCCCAATAAGCACCAGAGTCTGATAGTTCTCCACTAGGTAAAGTATATGATTTCTTAGCTGAAAGAGATGACATTTCAACATAAAAAACCAGTATAAAAATAAGAAAATGATTAAAATTACAATATTTATATATCTAACAGACACAGTAACTTCCTTTTACATGGAGCTCACTGCCAAAAGCTAAATAGTCCTTTAAAATCTATAAATGGCATGTACAATATTTAGTAAATAATATACATCAACAAAGCCCTTAAAACTGTCAGTTACAGTTGTCAAACAGAACGATCAGTTCCACCAGAGAGCATAAAATTATGGTCATAAAATTATTATTTTATGTGATTCTATTCTGCTCTTTCAAAATAAAGATGTAAGAGCCAGACATCATACAGCAGATTCAATAAACCAAAAAGAACTCCTGTACCTTAAAAACAGGCAGCTTTTGTCTTTGCTGTTCAATAGAAAGGGATGCATAAGGATTATAGATGATGGTCACGGCACTGCTCTCAGCAGGGCTCTGTCTCTCCTCTGACACACCGACACCAGGGCCTTCCGTGCCTACATGGCAGAAGTAAATTTTAACTGGAAGAAAACACTTCTGTTTACTGCATCACAATACAGCCAAAATAAACATGTTTCTTACAAGGAGGAATCATAGGTGGCAGCACAAAAAAAACCCAATCTTTCTATTTAAAAGAAACAGGAGGAAAAAAAGCACATAAGTAAAATATAGAGCAAGATCTTCGGAACTTTCTTCTTTTTCTGTGCAACAGTTCAGATATACCTTCAATATCCTTCTCAGAAGTATGTCCATGGATTTTAAGCCTGTCAGACATGTAACAGAACTTCCCTTGACTAACATCAATTGCATAAACATTCAGCCTTGCCCACTTGTGGGATAAGTCCCTCACTTCAGCTCTGAATTTACCTCAGGCACTGAAACCTGATTTGTTCCTGCTGCAGGTTATCTTAAAACTATTGACAGCTGAAAATGCTGAATCATGAAAGTGAACAAGAAACAAAAACTCATCTCAATAAGAACGTGTCATCTTCAACTGCAGATTCAACTGAGAAAGTCTGAGAGCAAAGAGAAAGATTCCCCAGTTTTGCAGGATTTGCTTACTTGGGCTTCTCCAACTGCTTAAAAACAGTTAGTCCCTATTCAGAGCTGCCAAGCAGTTTTATAGCAAGCTGATCCAATTTTAAGAGTGATTAGCAATGATTCCAATAACTGTTCACTCCCCAGGACAGATGGGGAAGTTAAGAGCCAAGGACTTGAATATGTGGATCTTGACAAATCAATTAAGTTAACAGATATTGCTTCTCATCACCCACTGGTTTTCTTTCACAGCCTTTTCTGTGTTTTTTTAAATACACCACTGTCAGCATATTACTATATATATATAGTATATATACATATATTATCATAATACTCAAATAATTAAGAAGGTGTTTGCTAAACTAATCTTGCCTCTAGAAAAGCTTTGAGGTGACCAATTTAAAAAAGTTACCAGACTCAGACCCATTAAGCTCCCCTGTGGGATAAGGGGAATGCATAGAGCTGCCCAAATCCTGAGGGAATGATCACTGACTCATGGCCCAGCAGAGGCTGGCAGGGACCTCTGGAGACCTTCTGGGCTTGGGTCTTGACCTTGCTTACCACAGGGTCACTTACACGGAATGCTCAGGTCCTCCTTCAGTGGGGTTGGAGACCTCCCAACCTGCCTGACTGCTTGTTCCAGAACCTGGCCACACAAGAGGTTTTTCTCCTGTTTAAGCTGACTTTCCTCTATTTCAGTTTAAGCGCTACCAAGAACAGTCTGGCTCCACCTTCTTTACACCCCCCATCAGGTATTTATATACACTGAAAAGATCCTCCTGAGACTACTCTTCTCCAAGCTGCACAGTCCCAGCTCCCTCAGTCTCCCATTGCACGTTGCACACTCCATTCTCTCAACTATCTTCACGGCCCTTCACTTTTTGTCTCTCCTTCTGCCAGTCCATGTCCTCCCGAGCCCACCTACCGTTCCTTGTAATGGCCTTCCCGGTGCTGAGGGGAATGATCACCTAATCTGAGTCTCTCCTGTCTCAGCTTAAGGCCATTTCCCCTTGTCCTCTTACTGCAGGCACGACAGACGAGATCGGCCCCCACCCCTCTACAACCTTCTTTCAGGTAGTTGTAGAGAGCGATGAGGTCCCCTTGAACCTCCTTTTCTCGACACTAAACAAACCCAACTCCTTCAGCCGCTCCTCATAAAACACATTCTCTACTCCTTTCACAAGTCTTGATGCCCTTCGCTGGACACGCTCCATCAACCCCAAAGAGCCGAGAGGGGCTACGCCGCCCGCTTTCGCGGCGGGCCGGCGGAACGGGGCTGTCCCCGCACCCCTCACACCACGGCCAGCCCGGCCCGGGGCTCTGTCCCCCGCGCCCCTCACACCACGGCCGGCCCGGCCCGGGGCTCTGTCCCCCGCACCCCTCACACCACGGCCAGCCCGGCCCGGGGCTCTGTCCCCCGCACCCCTCACACCACGGCCAGCCCGGCCCGGGGCTCTGTCCCCCGCACCCCTCACCCGGCTTCCAAAACTTCACCGGGCCCACGGGCGCCGCCATCTTGGGGTGAGAGGGCGGCCGGAAGCGGCGCGCGGGGCCCACGTGACGCTCCCAGTTGCCATGGCGACACACGCCCCCGGTCCCTCACGAGGCCCCTCCCACCTCACAAGATAAATAGCAGATTTTCCTTTCTTTCTTCATAAGGCTGGGCTTTACGGCCAAATCTCTCTCGAGAGAGCCGAGTTGTTATTAGCACCTAATAACATCTAATGTCTAGTAAACTGAGATGCGAGTGGGTGTGTTGGTATTGCCCAATGGTTGGTTGAGTAACAGTTAACTATAAACAGGAACAAAGAATCACAAAATCAATTAGGTTGTAAAAGACCTCTGACATCAACGAGCCCAACCTGTGATCACCACCATGTCAACCAGACACGTGCCACGTACAGTCTTCTCTTAAATACCTCCAGGGACAGTGAGTCCACCACCTCCCTGGACGGCCCATTCCGATGTCTAATCCCCCTTTATGTGAGGCAATAGTGTGTAAATTGGGATCAGATTTATAAAACTCCGAGTAATACTCTTAGCCTGGGTCTTGCACGCCCATCTCCCTGCTGAACAGAGTACTGTGGAAGCCAAGGAAGTAATCTGCAGGTGAGATATAAGAACATCCAAGCGCTTCCAGTATTTAAGTTTTCCTTATGTTTTTGGCCACATTTTTCATGGTACAAAATGAGTTCCATCAAAAAATAAATAAATTTAAAAAAAAAGGGAAGAGCAAAATGCAGAGAACAAAGGCCCAGGATAAGCCAAGCCTTTCAGGTACTGGTCCTGTTACTAGAACAAAGTGTATAAGATTGTTTAGCCTGAAGAAGAGAAGGCTCTAGGGTTACCTAACTGTGGCCTTCCAGTGGCCTTCTTTTTCTACATGAAAAACTGAGAGAGGCTATTTACAAGAGCCTGGAGTGACAGGACAAGGGGGAATGGCTTCAAACTGAAAGAGAGGAGGGTTAGACTAGAAATTAGGAAGAAATTCCTCCCTGTGAGGGTGGGGAGGCCCTGGCACAGGTTGCCCAGAGAAGCTGTGGCTGCCCCTGGATCCCTGGGAGTGTCCAAGGCCAGGTTGGACACGGCTTGGAGCAACCTGGGCTGGTGGAAGGTGTCCCTGCCCATGGCAGGGGTGGGATGAGATGGGCTTTAATGTCCCTTCCAATGCAAACCATTCTGCCATTCTGTGACATTCTCCCCTTATGTGGGGGAGCACATAGGATTTAACAGGATTGAAAGATCACTTCCCAAAAGTTCTTGCTCATTAATTAAGTAAAGCTGATCACTTCCCTTCTCCAATGACAGATGCTCCTGCACTACTTGCACCACAGCTGTTTCACTTTACACCAGGCAGCTGAAAGACTAGAAAGAAAAAAAATCACAGTAATAGCTAAAAGATCCAGCTATGCCCTACCACAGGCTCCTTGCAGACTGTTTAACCAAAATACAGTCATGAAAGTTATTATTGAATCAAATCTGATGTAGACTTAGAGTTTGTGGAATTATAAAAAAAGGAGCCCAAATAAACAGGTTCTAGTAAGTTTAGTTATGCTGTTAAAAATTTACACTTATGGAAAAAAATCTAATCACATTTCATATTCTTATTAATAATTCTCTTCATTAATAACTTGTCATGCTAACAGTGCGGTTATGGTGAGTAACACAGGCTGCACTTCACAATGCCATACCTCCATGGTCCCTTATTATGCTAAGTCTGTAGGTAACCCCTTGTAAGAGAGGTTATTCAGTTCTAATTAAAGATGTTCTTAAAATTTTAGCTATATATTTCAATGCGGGTTTTAGATTAAGCCCACTCTATTAAAAACGAACACAACTTTTACCACAGTATTTTGTATCACCAATGTATCAGCAACTGTTGAGAAAAACTCCTACTAATAGCACATGGAAAGAACTGCTCATTAAAGTAATGAGATAATTAACAAAGGGAAAAAAGTTATATTTGAGAAAATATATACAGATAATTATTGTGAAAATATGACTGTATAAACAATATTTTGCATAGAGTACAACACTGTATGGGGTTTGAGTCTATGGAATATATAGTTTAAAATAAAAATACATATTTCAAATTTCTTTATATCTGCATGAAAGTTAAGACTATGAAACTATAAACTATTGAATATTTACAGATTAGGAGAGTCAGAATTATTCCATTTCCATGATTGTAAGTGCAGAAGAAAAAGGGCCCAGATTAGTTGTATCCAAGCAACACATTATTGCATTGTCTATAAAGACCATTTTTGTAACCTCCACATGTCCAATTTAATGTTATCCTACCACTGTTTAGCAGAGACACTTATGAAACTCCCCAGCTAAGTTTGAACCTTACCCTTTGAAGGCCAGAACTCACAAGACACTCACACAAGCATATACACAAGTGCTTTGCAGTAGAAGAGCCTCAAGAACAACTTGAGAAATAATAAACTTTGGCTTTGCCCACAGCTGCCATGGTTGGACTAATGAGTTTCTGCCCTGGCAGGCTGCTGGAATTCCAGTGCCTCAATGTACAGCTGTCTGCGAGGAGAGTTTATTCATTTGAGTTGGATTTTTTTGGTTTGGGTTGGGGTTTTGTTTGTTTTGGTTTTTTGGTTTTGTTGGAGTTTTTTTTCCTCTAGAAATTGACAGATTTAAAAAAATAATACTAATCAAGCTTGCATGAAACTTTAAAAATAAATTATTCTATTGCTGAGTTTCATATCATCGCATTTCTGGTGGAAGTAGAGCTTTTGAGAAGACGCAGTAGCTTCAGAGATTTCAGATCTACTCAGCTTTTCCCACAAGATCAGACAGCAGCAGCAACCATAAAGAACCCAAAAAGTATGCCTGGTAATGCTAAGAGATTGGTCTCATTTGTCTCTACTACAAACATAGCAGGTCCTTAGGAATACTATCCCTTGCACACATTTATTGCATGATGTCCAACAATCCAAATACATTATAATACAAAGGTCACTTGAAATTCAGTCACTACAAAAGCCTTGTTTGCCTGACACATTAACTCGTTCTGCCTCCCAGCACAGCTTCATGTCAAGAAAATGTAACATTTGAGGACTAGTAGTGTGGTACTGACCTACTGGTTTCTAGATTAGGGTTACTCCAGTTCTGGGTCATGAAATGGTGGAGAGCTCATGCAACCAAGACTAAGCTTAGACTGATTTCAGAGTCACTTATCCTGCTTTCATGTTTGGAAGACTTTTAGGCAATATGATTTTTGATACCTAGATTCCTTAAAAGAAAAAGGGTTGAGCAACTGAGCTAAGACACTGCCAACCCATCAGCTCAAAACATGAAAAATGAAAATCTAACAGAATACTAGAAGACAATAACGGCTTTATACTGGTCTGTCTTCAAACAAAATCACAATTCCAGTTTCACTTTCTCTCTCTTTGAAGTTTGTTTCTCAGCTGCTCTCACAAACACACTGTAAGACAGCGCTGGACAGGGACAGCTGGATGTGGTTCCTAAAGTTCTGCTTCTCGCCCTGCACAGATGTGCAGTTCATCTCTCTATGATCCAGTGTGGCCTCATAACCAGAGAGCCATTCCTCTTAGTCAGCGGAGGGGAGGTGTGCATGGCATTGTTTGGCACGTACACTGCCTCCCTCGAGGCATGCAGCCCGCTTCGCTTCCTCTTCAGATTTCCCACAAATGCTCTCAGATACAAAAAATCCATTCTCAGGAAGTTTTCCCTGGTCATGTCTCTAGAAGCCACTGTTATCTTGACCAGCTGGTCCAACACCTTGTTCTTCTTGCAGCTGGATAACTCTTTGAGGTTGATAGGCTTTGACCGTGCATGGAGAATCCGAAATTCCAGGTCAAAGTGTGCAACTGCAGGGCCTGACAGGATCAAAATGTTACTGCTGTTCAGCTTCCCATCTGTCCATGTAAAACTAGCAATGGAAAAATGAGAAAATTGTGAGTTAACTCAAAAAAATCAGTAAACAAAGTATTAACTAAAAATTCACTTTCATCACATTAGTTACATTGTTCTTATAATCCAGCTGATGAGCAGTGGGCTCTTTTATGGATAAATGTTACACATAAAATCCAATAAGGAAAGCAGTTCTGCAGCATTGATGGTTTTCCTTTCAATGTAAAGAAATCATGCTAAACAACAGAAAGAAACTGGAACTTGCCTGTAGGAGCCTGTCGTCACTCTGATGCCATCAATTAACATGAATTTTTCACGGACTTTTCCAATAATTTTGGTTCCTGACCTGGTGCAGTATGTGTTCCCAGTGATAATTCTAACTCTCATCAACTGTTAAAGATACAGCAAGAGTCAGGTGGATTTCAAAGTTCTGTTTAAAGGAGTAACATCCCAATAATGATCCCTGATTTCCCTTGAACTAGCAAGGGTTGCTGTCAAATCTTCCAAGAGTGAGGTGGAGGTACATAACCCCCATTTGAAGTTGTGGCAGCAAGTATAATAGTTTCTTCTTTCAACAGCTCAGATTACACTTGTAAGAGGAACAGCTCCCTACCCCTATAATTATGACAAGGCTCACCTTTTCCTGTTCAAGGTCAACTCCCAGATCCTTGCACATTTTTAGAAAGTGGGAAAATGAAGACTGATCTAGCAGGATATACACTTTAACTTGCCGCTGGCTACAAGCTTCCATGAAGTCTTTGAAGATATCAGTATCTGTGAAGGAATCCATAACCAAGGCAATCATCTGCAACAAGTTTTAGAAGAAACCATTAGGATATTTCCACAGCATCCCAAAGGAGACAGCACATGAGGAATTTGACTTTCAAATTAACTATTTCCCCACGCACATTTTTTTCCTGGTGGTTATGGAACATGGTAGAGTCTTCTGTGATATGGTATATTCTTCCTCACCCTGAGATATGGCAAAACCAGGAGTCTAGTTCTCTTAGTTCTGTGTTAGACAAATTTGGTTTCTAATTCCTAGGCAAGAGGGTTTTTTTTCCCTGAGAACAGATGTCTTTTCCTCAAAACCATTGCCAGAAGAAAAAGGTGAGCTTATTTCCAACACTAAAGTTTTCCAGAGTGTTTCAAACTTTTCAAATATGAAAAGAAACACTAAAAAAAAATATTTGACTGCTCTTTACATCTCACCTCTCTGTTTAAGATCAAAGTGAGGTTTGTTTTCAACTTATTATTCTCATGATATTTCAAGTCAAGATCTGATTATTCTCTCAAATTCCTTGAGTAAAGCTTCCCTTGAGAGCCATCTCCTGCTCTTCCCCACGGGCAGAACCCCAGGATCCATCGTAGGATAAGGAAGCAACAGTTGCTTATGAGAGCTGGGAATGGGCACGCTCGGGATGTATCGCTCACACGTGCCAAGTACCCGAGGGAGCTCAGCAGTACCCAGAGAACCCGGACTACGTTTTCATCAATATGGCGGGGAAAAAGCTAGCAAATACTGAACCTATTTTAAGAATATATGCAAAAGAGGGTGGGAAAGAAATAAATAAATCAGGAAACAGCATAGTAAGTCAAAACAGGAGCGTATTTAAGAGCAAGTGGAGGGGAGAAGGACGAAGTGGCTCCAGGCAGCCGCGCGGCACTGGGGAACGGGGAGCTCTTGGCCCATCCCTCCGGAGCGATGTAACCGGGAAAGGGGCAGTTCGGAGATGCACCATGTAGAGTGCCGCTCCTTGGATATTTTCGAGCTTGTCCTTTGCACGAGGCATTCTCTGCTCGACAGGGGCGGTTCCAAAGCCGCCCGGCCTTGCTCGGTGTCCCGGGAAGGAGACGCTTCCCGGTGCCGGGCACTCACCTGCCGCGCGGAGCGGACCTGCCGCCGCACCGCCTCCTTGCAGCCGTAGATGCTGCCGCCGTCCCCGCAGCCGGGCTGGAAATGCGCCTCCACCCGCGTCAGCCCGCGGAAGGCGCCGCTGGCGAAGCCCGGCCAGCCCAGCTCCAGCGCCGGCGGCTCCAGGTCCGAGCGCTCGGGGAAGTAGGTGAGCGAGGAGGCGTCGAGCGAGGCGCCGGGCGAGGACTGTGCCGCCGGCTCCGGGCCCGCGGCGGGCGGCAGCGCGGCCCGCGCGATGTCCTGCACCTCGGGCTCCGACAGGAACGGGGGCAGCCGCTCCCGCCGCAGGAAAGCCCGCAGCGCCTCGGGGCCGCCCGCCACCAGCTCCTCCAGCGCCAGGCGCTGCGCCTCGCTGTACGGCCCGGCCGGCGGCGGCCAGCGCCCCGCGCCCTCCTCTAGCCACTGCGACGAGTTGGCCATGGCCGGAGCGGCCCCGCTCCGCCCGCCGCTCCTTTATAGCGCTCCGGAGGCCCCTCCACGCCTCCAGCCCGGCCCTTCGCCCACGGGACAGCCCTGGGGGGCAGAGCCAACAACCTTTCCCCCGCCCAGGGAAGCACCCGCAGAAGAGCAAACCTGGCATTAAGCAGCGAGAGTGAGTGCAGCCCTCATCCCAGCCCAGATCAAAAGGCTGCTCCTAAGGTTAGAGAGGGCAAATGGTCCCAAAAGGAAAGCAGCAAGTACCGGGGAAGTAAGTCACCCAGACTCAAATAAACAGAAAACAAAGCTCAGCAGTGATCAGGTGAAAACCCCACGGCAAAAAGGAGTCTATTTGTAAACAGTTTCTTGTTTCTGTGAGACTACCTTAACAGCTGCACAGTGTAATAAAGTTAAAAAGCACAAGGAACAAACAAGCTGATTGCAAATACGTTCAAGTACTGCAGAACATGAGCTCTTGAAAATACAACTCGAGATCGGCTTTGAAGATGTATTTTGGCTCCCTCTCTGCAACTTGTTTTGCTCCCAGTGTTGCAGATCCAAGGATCGTGCAATAAAGTATCTTACTGTTTCAAACAAGTGCAGACAGATTTTTTTCCCACCTTCACATCTTTGTACATCTGCCCTCTAGCTTTTGGAAGGAGTGGCTGCTTTGAATTCCAAGCAATAAAAGTATCTAAGCCTCTTTGTCTATAGAGATTTCAGACAGAAACACCAAAGTTAGTAGAATAGCGTTGGTCTCTATACTTGCAGCCTTTTTGAGTTACGGGTACTTTTCTGTTTATTCACTCATTCATTGCTGTTAACAGGAATTTTCAAGCCAACAGCTGAAATGTGCCATCTGCTGGACACACGTGGCCCTAAATAAGAAAATACACAGACTCTGAATTGAGTGGGCAGAGTTCGGTGTGGTTGGTCACTGAAGTACAGGGGTGCAGGTCTAAAAAATAACAGTACAGGTTAGATCTCAGGGAGATTTGACACACTCTGCTCAGTAAGTGATCCAGCAAGCACAGACATGCACAGAAAACTGCGAACAAATATTCAGATGATGTCTTCAAAACAGCTAAACCTAAGGCCCATTCAATATTGAAAGTATTTTCAAAAACTGGAGCGGCACTTCATCTCCTCAAACCAAGTTAGTAGTGGATAAAGGATAAACAGAGGAGGAAACACAGAGTATTTCAGACAGGACAGTTAATAAGAGAAAAATGTGTATTTTTTTCATTCTTACAGTTACTTTTACAATAATATTACCCAATATAACCCATAACATTTTGTAGTGCATTTGTCAGTTTACTTTTGAACAGGGGTTTTGTCACATGCCCTTGATGATTGTCTTGCCTCCAAGTTCACTACAAGGAAGGAAGCTCTTTACAGGTTTCCTAACAGATGTAAGATGGTTCAGACATTCCTAGACCAAGCCAGAATTAGAATTTCATTTTACAGTGCTAAGACTAAAAGTGTAATTAATTATTAAAGCTTAATTCTATGTAACAAGTTGCACAAGACACAAAGTTCTTTGAAGTCATCCCATAAGAGAAGTACAACAGATATGCTACAGTAAGACACTGAGCTCCAGATAGTACTTCATCTCCCACTCACAAGCATAAAAACCCAACACTTCAGCCATACATTCCCATTAAAAGTCCTACAGGTCCAATATCACTAGCTTTTAGTTCCAAATACTGGAAACAATTAATCAGTACTGTATCTAAAATGGGTACAGAGTAGAGTGCTAACCTGCTACTTCCTAGTCTGGTTTTGATTTTAAAAGGATGCTAGTCTGAGGATGTGTATAAATATGCATAAATATATATGTATCTACACGAAAGCACAAGAGGATGATCAAACCAAAGAGCTATTAAGCTCAGTCTGTTTCAGAAGGCTAAAGCAATGAAAAAAGGGTATAGTTGAAGATAAGAACATGGAACTGCTCCAATAGACCCTTCACAACTTTAGTGGAAGAGTAAGTGGAAGTCAGACTTGGAATAAAATTAGCTTTATAGCTCTTTATAAAAGTTGTTTCCCCTCGTGCCAAATATAAAGTAGAAATAAAAGCCAATATTAAAAAGAAAAAAAAATTTGAGTGTACCTTGATGTAAGCTAAATCTCCAAAGCCACTCTGAGCAAGCTCAGTCTGACTCAAGATTTTCCAAGTTCACATAAATTAAAGCCAGAGCATTAGCAATCCTAGAAAGCAGTAACAAGTTTATTTTTCAGGCTAAGCATCTGGAATTAAAATGATCTTCACTGCTAATGCATACAAGATGAACATGTAAGTAGTTACCGTACAATACCTCTTTTTTATCACTTACACTGCACAGTATAAAACAAAGTGCTGGGGAGTGATGTACGTGCGTATTAAAAAAAGTAAAACTGCTGGACGGAAGTGGAAGAATCAGCAGGTATAAAGTGACTCCAACTTGAGAGTGGAGCTTGTGTGCTCTATGGCCAGTGCAGCAATCATTTATTCAGGGAGAAGAGCGAGACGTCCCTGAGGCTGCGCAGGCTGGCGCTGATGTCCCGCCTCTGCTTTAGGTTGCATCTGCCGGTGTACTGGGTCATGTAGCTCTCAGGCACACGGCCCCTCCGGGAGATGATATCCACCATGTGGCTCAGCTTCGACCTGATAGTGGAGTAGTGGAATTGTCTCTCTTTATGCAGTTTTTGGAAATATTGTGCCCTGTGACTGCTGGAATATTCAAAGGACCGGAGAGAAGACAGTGAGCCTGTCGAGCTTCCAAGAGAGCACTGGGACGATGATGAAGACAGTGATCGCAGACTAGAGTTTGATACAGCATTTCCGGTCAGAGAATATTCTTCTTTTGACAACTTTCTATGAAGTAGGGGTGTTTCTGTGCCTTCCTCTTCCTTTGTCTGTGTCACTGCAGTCTTCAGCAAAACTGATGTCTGAGTGCCCGTTGCTCTCGCAGTGACAGAAGCCTGAGTGCCAGTTTCTGCCATGGCAGCACTGGTCTGCGTGGCAGCATTACAGGTGTTCACAGCAGCTGTCTTGTCCCATGGGTCAGTTTGAGTCGATGAGCTTTTCCGTTCTGCCATGGTCACTTGATTGCTGAATGACTCCTCTTCACAGAGGCAAGAATGCCCCAGATTACAAGGTTTTCCTCCACGGCTATCTTCAGCCTGATCTAGCTCTTCCAACAATTTCTTTGGAGTGCTAGACAGCCTGGCAAATTCCGCTCTCAGGTTGCCTTCCACAGTATATTTTTTAGAGGACTCTGGTCTGGTCACCAGGTGATCAAACATCCCACTGTTCCTGCAGCTGGATGGACCCTTAGGGCTGATGGGCAGTGACTGGGCATAAAGAATCCTGAATTGCAGGTCAAAGTGTTCAACCACTTGGCCTGACAACACTAGCAAGTTACTGCTGTTCAGCTTCCCATCAGACCATGTGAAACTATTGAAAACAAACCAAGATTCACAGTTAATCTCCAGTTCATTTCAACACATACAGTTACAGAAAGCAAGACTCAGCTTCGAAATGCTGCATGTAAGGAAGGTACAAAGTCAATAGACTATTCACTCCTTCTTCAGGAAGAACTCTATTTAGCCAAGTGCTTTGTTAAGAACAAGTTGTGTAAATCAGTTTTTCAAAGGTGTTTTCACCTTAGTCTCAGTCCCAGTTAGATTCAGCTAGTCCACATGCCCTCATTAACACCAGGCAAACAGCAAAGTTAATAAATCATTCTTGTAGCAAATCCCCCTTTCTACAGCTTCACTGTGCACCAGCAGACCCCAATACTTGCCTGTATGAGCCTGTTGTCACTCTAATGCCATCAATTAACATGAACTTCTCCTTGGCTTTCCCAACAATTTTGGCACCTGACCTCAGGTAGTAAATGTTCCCTGTGAGAGTTCGAACTCTCATCAGCTGGTTCAGAAAAGAAAGGAAAAAGTAACATCAGATTTAAGTTAACTTCCAAAAATGTTTGATTAGCAATTCTACCTAAAATTCTATGCACACTATGGAAAATAGGAATTAAATTTCTTATACAGTCTGTATGTGAGTGCTATCAGCTACACAGTGCTAAATTTGTTAGATTAGCAGAGTCTGTAGAGAGAACAGCCAGTTCCAGTTAATTACTACCCAGGAAGCTTGGAGTGCTTCCCTGTCCGGAGAAACTCTCACTGGAGGGAACATAAACCTGTCCAAGCCAAGCCATAACACAGCCATGTCAGCCTTTATTCAGAGCAACTAGGTAAATCACCTGGCACATCATCCAAACATTTCTAAAAGACAGCAACTAGGTATTAGGAAAGAGATCAGATCATACCAGAGCTATACCACCCTTGAGTTTCCCATGTTTCTGTTTTCCTTAGCAAGCAGTTCCTTGAGCCAAAGACTAAGACTCTTTAAATATTGCAAAATTAAATGCTTGAAAATTGTTGCATCCTCAGGACAGGGATCACAGTCCACACACTCCACCCAGCTCACCAGGCTGGTGCATGACAGGGCGGTAACTCCTACATACAGGCAGAACAGGGTGACAGATCTGCCTTTTCTGCATGGTTTTTGCTGAGTTTGTGAGCAGTTTCACACATAGGATTAGAGGCTGTACTGAAAACATGCAATATTGAGCCTTCATTTTCAGGAGCTGAGAAACAGTTCAGAAAATCCCCTTTTAGTTATCAAACAGACAAGGTGTTTTAGCCTCTCAAGGAAGTCTGATCCTTTGTAGAAGGGTTTCTTTAATATGCATAAACTGTACCACAAAAAAATAAAAACAAACCACGTCCCCCCACCTTCAGTACTTACACTTTCCTGCTCAGGACAAACTCCCAAATTGTTGCACATTTCCAAGAAGTGGGGTAGAAATTCCTGGTCGAGGAGGATATAGACAGGGACTTTGTGGTTGTTACAAGCATCCTGCAGGTCACTGAAGATATCGATATCTGTGAAGGAATCCATCACGAGAGCAATCACCTGTGAGAAGAGTGACAACACTTAGTCAAGGGATTTA